AGAGCTGCTGCCGGTTTGAGTAGACAATACTGACTTCGATGGACCAAGGGTCTGATTCAGTATAAGGCAGCTTTTTGTGTTCATGCGTTCCCCTTCTAATGCCAGAGTCAGGGTTTGTACCTCTGTCCCTAGATTCTTGAACATAGCAGCCAGCTGTATACAAACAACCAAAAGCAGGGATCTCTCTATGCTCCCCAGATTGGGAGACCCAGAAAGGAAAGAATACTTGGAAGACAGGCTTGAATTTCAAAAGTTCAGCAAAACTGAATTATGAGATAACTAAGAATAAGGAAATAAATACAATGAGCTCTAGAAAGAGGCTCTGGACGGGTGCCCTGGCCTTGGGCACTCAGCATCAATTTGCTGTGGCAACCTCAGCAGGGTATAATGAACAGAGCTTACTGTTTCTCCAGGGAACTGATCTCTGCCATCTGGAGAGCAGTTGTAATTCTGAGTGATCTCCAGCCCTCACATGGAGATTGGCAGCAATGGTCCCCCAGGAGGAAATGGCTGGTTTGGAGGGGGGAGTCTATGGCATTGTACCTGTCTGAGGTTCCACTCTTCCTCAAACACCATCCTCAAATCTTCAGGAATTTCCCAACCTGGAGCTGGCAACCCTATCTCCTTCCCAGCCAACCATCAACTTACTGTTATCTGCCCCTGATCTCTACCATCTGGAGAGCAGTTTTAATTCTGAGTGATCTCCAGCCCTCACCTGGGGATTGGCAGCAATGGTTCCCCGGGGGGAAAAGTACAGTCTTTCTCCACAGTGGAGACCAAAGCAGCTTACATCATTCTCCTCTCCCTCTTTTGATCTGCACAACAACCCTGTGATGTAGGTTAGGCTGATAGTCTGTGACTGGTCCAAAATCACCCACTCAACTTCCACAGCAAGAACCTGGGTCTAGGAGTTCCTGCTTTGAAGTGCTAATTGCTGCATCTAAGGTAGCCAACCTTCAGGTGGATCCTGAAGATTGTTGGGTATCACAACTGAACTCCAGACAATAGATCTCCCCCCACCCACCCTGGAGAAAATGACTGCTTTGGAGGATGAGCTCTATGGCATTCTATTCAGCTGAGGCCTCTCCACTCCCCAAACTCAGGCTTCCTTAGACTCTACCACAGAATATCCAGGAATTTCTCAACCTGGAGCTGGCAACCCTAGTCAGGACTGGCCTCAATGAGTTCCCCACAAAGGCCTGGAAAGGGCTTCCTTCCTTTGCCTTTTTACTGACGGAACCAAGCTTGGTTGCCTAGCAACAGCCACTACTGATTATTTGGTCTATTGATTATTTGTTACATTAATCCAAATATTTTTGAGGAAAGGATTTGATGCTCCCAGCTCCCTTGAAATAAAGTCAGCAACAAACAGTAAAGTATAACATCTGGTTTCTGTCACATCTAATGAGCTGAGAAAGCCCAGTGAAAGGAATTTAATAATTAGCTGAAGAAGATGCTTTACTTTTAATTACGGTAGATGTAAAGATGGGGCTGGTAAAATGTATTGAATTGAGCAGAAATACAGCTGCAACTCTTTGCAATAGAGATTTGAGTTTGGCATACCCCTTTCTTATTTGTTAACTGCTTTCAAAAGTAAAATACAACTTTTAATATTTTGTTTATTAAATAGAATAACTGTTGTTTAAGGCTTATTGTATGGATCTTTTATATTCCTAAATGTTTGTAGGGGAAAAAGCTAGCTAAATTCCTTACTAAGACTCTCTTATAAGGAAACTTTACTAAGACTGTCTCTTATTTCTTTAATAAGGAAACTTTCCTTATTAGCTAAAGATTATGACAGATTTATTGACACAACAAGCAAGGATATCTTTAGCCAATTATCAGTGGAAAATTGAAAAGTAGCCAAGATGTTTCCAACAGAATTAATGAGCAGATGTTTGTTATTGGAGATATCTTTCTCAAAGTATTTTAACCAGAGATAAATCATCAGCTTTTGACAGTCTAGTTTTAATTAGGAGCATTAGAAGTACGGAGTTTGATTCTTTTCAAATAAACTTTCCTATATATTTTGCAAGAAAACGAGTATAACCAAGTATAAACAAGCATTTGTGTGTTTTATATATGCATGTGTTAGTAGAAAAACACTATATAAAAACAGAGAAAGTTAATTTTGGCTTATAATATAAATTTAAGCCAATAAATTTTAGAGATGGGAAAGACTGGGGACAGAGCCAAGCAGAAGGTACTTTGTCCAAGAGACTACCATATTTCACTATTAATATAAGGAGATTTTGACAAGACACCTGTGGATGAAAGTTGAAAGAAAGACAGAGACATCTTGTTTGTCAAAAGTAAGATTAATGGATGTTAGAGACAAATAAAATCAAAATACGCATGTGTAAATGATGTCATGAATGATGTAAAACTGGGAGGAGAAACTAGAGTATAAAAGTTGGAACACAACTGTTGCTCAGTAGACATCTGAGCTAAACTTTTTGGCTGCATGTTGCTGCCTGGATTTCGTCTGACTGTGTGACTTCAATTGGCTTGCTACACAGGTCAAAGAACCTCAGCGCCCTGAGAATGCTGCCTTCAAGGTTGTTGGAGCATTTTTCTGCCATTAGAAGATAATTGTTGCATTTCTGAATAAATCCTCAAGGTGGTTACAACTGTGTAATTGTGGTAGTCATGGGAGTCACTCTGAGCCCCTTGGAGAAGGGGCAGGAGAAAAAATGCACTAGGCAGATAGACAATTGCAGCACCAAATGTTCTATTCTAGCGGGGGGGGCCCATCAGTGGCCAAGTGGCAGTTGCCACACCACAAACAGGCACTGTGGAGGTGTTCTGCCATGTATCACCTGTCTTTTTTTGTGCATGTGCACAGGTTTCATCTCTGGGATTATTTTAGCCAGCTGTCCCAGGAAGTTCTCGTCATTGATCTCAGACTTGAACTGGGCAGAAAGTTCCCAAGAACTTTTCAGCTAGTATGTCGGCAGCGCTGTGTGTGAAGAGTGGATTACGAGGGGATGGCTTGCAACCAAGAACCCATTCTAGGTAGTGGTTATGTTTACCTTTCCTTCTTAGGCTGTAGTGTGTTGATATTTTTATGTGATCTCCATTTCAAAATATTATTCTAAGCATTGTACCCATTTTTTCTAAGCATTTTACCAACAATATCCAGTGTAACAGTTTCGTTACTGTGTAGCCAGAAAGTTCATGATCCTAATACCAGGCCTGCCCAACAGGACGGCCTCATTCCCCTCTGCCTCCGTTTCCTCTCCTCCATTTGCAACATGGGGATTTTCCTTATTTACAGAGAATTGCCGAGAAAAATGCAGTTTGGAACCGAACTATCTGAAGGATCTCCAGCGGGAGCCTGTTCAAGCACCCAGGCGACCAGAAGAGATCCTGCCGCCTAGACCTCTTCGCAGGAATCCAACAGTCGGGGACAGTGTTCCCTCTAAGCTGAGCTAGTGTGAGCTAGCTCACAGTTTTTTAGCCTCCAGCTCATACATTTTTGTCTTAGCTCAGGAAGGACAGCTCCAGAGCAAACTGATTGATGCAGCAGCCAAATCGCTCGCTCACAACTTTCATGCCAGGAGCTCACATAGTAGAATTTTTGCTCACAAGACTCCACAGCTTAGAGGGAACATTGGTCCGGGAGGCCTTCTTGGCGGCAGGCGCACCCGCAGGGCCGGATTTAGACTTGCCGAGGCCCTAAGCTATGCAAAACCCAGAGGGCCCCCGACTGTTTTAAATCACATCAGCTGGACTCAGGAAAAATTTAAAATATAGACGCCTTTTTGATAGTTGAACATTATATTGTCTTTTAATTTTTATTAAAAAAAAATAATAAAGGATGTGTTTACAAAATCACAGAAATGATTACATAATTTTTAAAACGATAAATAAGGCTCTAGCAGATTGCGGGGCCCTAAGCTGTAGCTTATTAAATGATTACATGATTTTTAAAACGATAAATAAGGCTCTAGCAGATTGCGGGGCCCTACGCTGTAGCTTATTTAAAAGGTAAAGGTCTCCCTTGCTCGAAAGCCAGTCGAATCCGACTCTAGGGTTGCGGTGCTCATCTCCGTTTCAAAGCCGAAGAGCCAGCGCTGTCCGAAGACGTTTCCGTGGTCATGTGGCCGGCATGACTAAACACCGAGGCGCACGGAACGCTGTTCCCTTCCCACCGAAGTGGTCCCCATTTATCTACTTGCAATTTCTTGCTTTCGAACTGCTCGGTTGGCAGGAGCTGGAACTAGAGACGGGAGCTCACCCTGTCTTGCGGCACACTCGGGTCTCGAACAGTGTTCCCTCTAAGCTGAGTTAGTGTGAGCCAGCTCACAGTTTTTTAGCCTCCGGCTCACACATTTTTGCCTTAGTTCAGGAAGAAGGGCTCCAGAGCAAACTAACTTATGCAGGAGCCAAATTGATTGCTCACAACTTTCGTTGCCGGTAGCTCACAAAGTAGAATTTTTGCTCACAAGACTCCATAGCTTAGAGGGAACGTCGGTCTCGAACGGCTGAACGACCGACCTTCCACAGCCTGCAGTTCAGCGTCTGAACCACTTGAGCCACCGCAGCTCCTTTATTTCGCTTATGCGTAAATCCGGCACTGTGCGCCCTGCTCCAGGTGGAGCATCCCGCCCAGCCCTCCTCCCCTCTCCGGTGACGGCTGGGCAGGTGCTGCCATCATCATCATCATCATCATCATCATCATCATCATCATCATCATCATCATCATCATCATCATCATCATCATCATCATCATCATCAT